GGCCGATTCTGCAAAAAAAAAAAGAGAGAAGTGGTTTGCTGCATTTTTTGTGTTGTCTCAAAGATTTAGACCTGGTTTTATATGAGTTGCAGCCCAGTTGTAAGTGTTTATATTTAGACCTCATTCTATATTCAATTGAAGTTGTGAAAAAAACTGTTTTGTTTTCGTGTTACAGAGATTAAAGTTCTGTGAATATAGGGTTTGTCCTTGTCACAGACGCTAATTATCTGTATGCACTCTGCATTTGGTGTATTGTTGTTTTCTTAATAGTCAGGTATTTTATTATATTAAAGGTACTGTAACAATGGTCAATGTCCTTCTAAAGGAAACAAAGGTAGCGTGCCTGAAGTGGGGATGAAGTTTACAAGCATTGAAGAAATTCGAGAACACTATCTGGCTTATGCTCGAAGTGTAGGATTTCCAATGCGGACTAGGACAACTCGCAAAGCCAAAGATAGAACTCCTAGAAGTGTTACATTTGTGTGTAATCGACAAGGAAATAAAAAGAGCAAAACACAAGATGTGTTCCACCCTTTTTGCTTTTTGCTTTTTGTGTAAAGTATGTCACAAGTATGATAACTTTTTTCTGAGTTTCCTGCACATAAACTAATGTAAATCTGATGTAACTCTGTCTTCAAATACATTAAGTCTCTGTGAAGTCTGTGACATAGACAGTTATTCCATGTGAGCAACAAGAAATCTAATGTATGCATTTTAACTTTGTTTTTAGCTATACAAGACCCCCACATATGTGATGAGATTCTGAAAATGGTGTATGTGCATAAAGTTAAATAACTCTGTCGTCACATACATTAAAGCTCTGTGTAATGGGTAAAATAAACAGTTACTCTCTGGGAGGAATCTGAAAGTAAATCTGTAATTCAGTCATAAACTAAGGTAAATCATTCATCACACACAGTAACAGATTGTACATTATCAAGTAGAAATTCATGATGATAAAAGCCTCATTACAAAAAAATCAAAAAAATCTGAAGTGCATAACATGACTTGAGTTTTATGAAATCTAGAACTTTTTTTGCATCAGATCTAGAACTTTGCTCTCATTTTTTTGGAATGAGCATGGGAACTATAAATCACATAGCTTTTTATTTTTTTATTTTTTGTGTAAAGTATGTAACAAATGAGATTTAACTTTCTTTTTACCTTTACAAGACCCTCACATATGTGATAAGATTCTGAAGATGGTGTATGTGCATAATGTTATGTAACTCTGTCGTCACATATATTAAAGCTCTATGGAACGGGTAAAATAGACGGTTATTATCTGTGAGGGCTTTGAAAGTAAATCTATAATCCAGTCATAAACTAAGGTAAATCAGTCATCACACACAATAACAAATGTGCATTAACAAGTAGAAATTCATGATGATAAAAGCCCCATTACAAAGCTTCCAAAAAATGTAAAGCTAAAGTGTTTCCCCAAAAAATACATTACAAAGCACAAAAACCATTACAAAGAGTTTCACAAAGATTAAAGACCCCTAAAATTGTAAAGTAAAAAAACTAAATATTGGTTGTTTTCCTTCCACAAGCTGCAAATTGACATCGGAAATCAGCCATGTGTTCAGAACTACAGTTCGGACTTAATGGTAAGCCAACCAACAAAGACTCTAGAAATGCAAGCACCATTACTCCACAATTGTCATACCTGCAAGGGAAAATAGTATTAAAATAAGTAGGGGGTATAATTTTCACCCGTCCATGGGAGTAACATACAATTCACAGAAAGCAAGCAAAAATAACAAGCAGACCTCATTCACAGACAATAATGTTATATGAAGTTCAAATAACAGAACTTAACCATCTATGCCATACAATTCACAAAGTAAGCAAAAATAACAAGTGAAGAAAAAATACATTACAAAGCACAAAAACCATTACAAAGAGTTTCACACGTTTTCCTTTCATCCTCATCCTAATGACCAAATGAAGAAAAAAACCATTGAATCAAGTGATGATGATACAAGAGACTGTTTAAAGTACAATTTAAAACCAAAACAGATCAGCTCACCCTGGAAATCGAGAGTTGGGCTGCCGGCGAGGGAGGTGAAGGGGTGGGGACACGACGCTTGAGGTGGTGGGGCCGGTGCGCTGCAGGTGGNGGAGGGGTGGGGAGACGACGATGGAGGTGGTGGGGCCGGTGCGCTGGAGGGCTGGGGGTGCGCTGGAGATGGAGGGTCGCTGGAGGTGGAGGGTTGGGGATTTTGCCGGCAAGCCAAATTTGGGAAAGAAGAAGCGGGAGAAGGGTTGGAGAGAGAAGCGGGAGAAGGGTTGGAGAGAGATTAGATTTGGAAAAAGAAAAATAATAAAAAAATTAATTATATATTTGGTATCATGCTTGGAGGCACACTTGGTGCCTCTTTAGCATTTTCCTAAAAAAGATATGAGAGGGAAGGAATAATAAAAAACCATATATACCTCCAAAGGCTGTGAATTATTATTGTCTTTTATTCGGTGTCGACGCACTCTGGACGCTTCCTTCTCCTCCTCTATCCCTTCCCCTGCCGCCGACGGGGAGAGATTGAAGAAATCTAAGGATTCCTATTCCATAATTTGCAGAATGACGAGCTTTGGGTTCCACTCAATCGGTGTTCTGCTCGTCATCTTCATCGTCTGTTCGGCGCCGTTCGAATGTGTTGGGGTTCGGGATTTCGCGGCGAAAACAGGGGAGGATTCCGGCGGGTCCGAGTATTCCGAGGCGCCGGAGTACCGGAACGGCGCCGAATGTCCGGCGGCGATGTGGCACTCCTGCGATCCGTCGCTCGTGCACGTGGCGATGACCCTCGACTCAGAGTACCTCCGTGGGTCGGTGGCGGCGGTGCACTCCGTCCTCCGCCACGCTTCCTGCCCGGAGCACGTGTTCTTCCACTTCATCGCCGCCGAATTCGATCCGGTCACTCCCCGGGTCCTGACCCGGCAAGTCCGGTCCATATTCCCCTCCCTCAGCTTCAAAGTCTACGTCTTCAGAGAGGACCGGGTCATCCACCTGATCTCCGCCTCGATCCGGCGGGCGCTGGAGAGCCCGCTGAACTACGCCCGGAACTACCTCGGCGACATTCTCGACCCGTGCGTGAACCGGGTCATCTACCTGGATTCTGACGTCATCCTCGTCGACGACATCAGCAAGCTCTGGCGAGTCCCCTTGACCCGGTCACGGGTAATCGGGGCTCCGGAATACTGCCACGCCAATTTCACCAAATACTTCACCGACACGTTCTGGTCCGACCCGGTCCTCCCGCGGGTATTCGGGTCGGGCCGTCCCTGTTACTTCAACACGGGAGTGATGGTGATGGACCTCGGGAAATGGCGGGCCGGGAACTACGGGAGGAAGCTGGAGCGGTGGATGGCGGTGCAGAGGAAGAAGAGGATATATGAGTTGGGCTCGCTGCCGCCGTTCTTGTTGGTCTTTGGTGGGCTGATTGAGCCCATTGATCACAGGTGGAACCAACACGGGCTCGGAGGAGACAACATGTTGGGCTCTTGTAGGGCCCTACATCCAGGCCCAGTGAGCCTACTGCATTGGAGCGGAAAAGGAAAGCCGTGGGCCAGGCTTGACGAGAAGAAGCCTTGTCCGTTGGATCATCTCTGGGTACCGTACGATCTGTACAGGCCCAATAAGCACGGGGAATGAATGGATGAATGAATGTTATGGTTTATGGAAGCATTGTGGTAGTAATAGTATTAGTACGGAGCATTTCATTTGATTTATTTCTTTTTTTTTAGGAGAAGAAGATTTTAGGGTGCTTAGTTGTATTCTTTCGTGTTTAATGAAATGTATTCTCTGTATTTTCAACCAAAACATTAATTCTTTTTTTGGCATTGCTTGAACGCTCGCCTTTTTTAGCAAAAAGAATTTTTTTATTAGAAAAAGAACATTGCTTTTCATTGTTGAATTGAGTTTTGATATTTGAAATGGATGAAGTGATTTTTGATATCTTTAACATGATTATTTGGAGAAAAAAGTAAATATAATCCTACACAACATGATAGCTATAGTAGGTGGTTGGTGATGAGAGTCGTGATTGGTCGATGTTAGTTGTCGTTGGCTTTGGCTAACAATGTAAGTGGCGGTGGAGATGGTAACTGACAAACAATGGAGGTAGTTGTGGGGTGAGGATGGTGGCCATCATTTGTACACCAACAATTTAAGTTGTATGGAGAACGATGATGATTGATAAGTAGTTGCATTGACTGACAAAAGGCATCTTAGACAACAATGGTTCAAAATATTAGAAGGGACATCAAAATATTTAGGGTAACACTGGTTCCTTTTTGTATTGGTATTTAAACATTGGTTCCTTTTTTTTGTCCTTGGGAGGTTAGGACTAGTTAGATTCTCATCATTAGAAAGTGTTGTTATATGGTATGTTCTCAAACATTGTTTTGATTTGATTAAAGTCATTCTCATATCAGACAAATGAGAATTCATATCTTCTTTGGTCATCAAATACGTGTCTAAAGAGAGAATGCTTAGTCGATATTGAGTTCTTCATTTAATCACGAGTTTTAAGTCGCATGAAAGAGATAGTTAACTATTGATGACAACCCAATTGAACCAATTTATTAGTATTCTTTGTCATTTTATATTACATGTTAAAAAATTAGAAGTGTATCGTTCTTAGGGTAATGAATCATTTATGATTTTTAAGATTGTACGTATTATATAAATCTTAAGATATGAAAAGATTAAATATATTGGATCTTATAAAATGAAAAGAAACTTAAGTGCAAATTCATAAAAATTCATGACAAAATTATATTTTACATACGGAGTATAAATTTTAAGAGCACCATATTATAACTTTATCTTTTCAAAGTATCCGAATGACCAAATCAATGGATCCGTAGCAAGCAAGCATACCCAATTACCCGTTACCGTTTATGCCGGGTTCTGTTTATGTCCCCATCATTCTTCCTTTTTACAGTTCGGTACCTGATATTTAAACCTTTCGAATTTTGATCCCAAACTTTTGCGTTCAGTTTCATTTGAGTGCTTCTTTGCTGTTTCATCAGCAGATCAATTGCGGCAACCACACTCAATCCCAACGATTTGATTTCAGTTGGCCTTTTAGGGTTCAGCTGATGTATTGTTACCGGCAGCGAAGATTGTTGACTGTACTGATATGGGTTCTAGGGTTAGGGTTTGGGGAAGCTTTTAAGGTTCCTTTCAGGGTGAGCGATGTTCTTCCAGTATTGCCTCATCAGATTTCATGGCCGGTCCTCAACAGCTTCCACAGTGCCGTGGATTTGATGCCCACCTTTGTCGGGTCGATTGCTCCCCTAAACGGGTCCATCCGGTGGAAAGGCGCTTGCTTTTTTGAGAATGAAGCCAGGGTCGAGTTCACCGGTTCAGGTGATCGTGGTATTGGTGGCGCTACAGTCTATCTCTCGGTTAGTTCGGTCGAATGAATTTGCATTAATTTATGTATAAGCTTGATCAAATTTTGTTTTGGTTCCATGTTTTTTTTAAATATAAATTTATGCCGTGATCACCTTCTACAGTCCTATGGGTTATTTGGTACTCAGGAAAGGAATAAACTGAGGAATGAAGTTTTTAGTTTAATCGGAGAAGAATATATTTAGAGAAGAGAATAAAGAAAGACATTAATATCCGTAGTTTGGTTGATTGGAATAAAATGAATCAGAATATTTCGGAGTAGAGAAACTAAGGCAGAGTAATTACAAAATTTTGGCTCGAATAGAATCACAACTATCATTAGTCATGAGTTACAGTATTTTGTCCATTAAATGCTATTGCATCCCAAAGTGGATATGAAAAGTTATTCCCAATGTGTGGGGGGGGGGGG